TATGAGGTCAGGGTTATTATATCCATTTTATAGATAAAGAAACTAAGCCTCAGCTGAAAAGTGGCAAAGCTAATATGCAAGTCCAGCTGCTTGGCTCCAAAGCCTGCATTCTTAACTACTCTGTCATGCTGCCTCCTTTCAGGCTTTCCCTGTACCGCTCATACTTTTAAGCTTTACTAATTAATCTGACAAACATTTATGAGACACCTAGTGTCCAGCAGGCACTGGCAGGCATTGGGACTGGGAAGATGACTAGGATACAGACCCTGCCACAAGAAGGTAACAGCCTGTTAGGAAAGATAACCACGGGAATGAGGAACTATAATGCAGTATGAAACATACAGAAATAGAAGCACATTTGTGCCAAGTACAGCTGTAACTTTTAAAACTGATTTAAAATATTGTATGTCACATACAAAAAAATGTAATACCCTCCCTCTGTAATCAAGTTTTCTGAAACTCACCATGATAAACACTAGTAGTATAAGGTGAGTTTAGGCCAAAACATAGAAAAGAAGGAACTGGTCTCACATAACTTGGAAATTTCCCCCTCCTCATGCAGATTCTTTCCTAAAAATAGTAGGAAGAAATGCAAAATTCCTTCCCCATGTCCTAACCACTTCTGGCCTTGGACACTATTCTGCATTAGGATAAGTTCAGAAAGCTTTACTCACAGCCAATTAGGTACGAACAATCACATTAAAAGGAACAGAAGAACCCAGGACCAATGATCCTATCCTACCAAGATGGAAAAGTCCTATGGTGGCCGCTTCACCTGGGTGCCTGGGACAGCCCTCTGCGACAAAGGAATTTCTCCTCGTCATCTGACTTCTTGCTTTCCAGGAAAAGAGATGCCAAAAGGCAAACCCCAGTGGAAAAATTTTTGCAAAAATTGTGAAGGAAAGAATCCATGTCTTTAATCTATATCAGGAGCCTAATAAACATTCGTATCGTTGACCCAGCAATCCTACCTCAAAGGATATACTCAAAGGAAACAGTGAAGAACACAGACTAAAGTTTACATACAAGGAAGTCCGTGACAGCATCACTTTAATAATAAAAACTGAACAAAACCTAAACATCCAAGTGCCAAAGAATAGTTCAATGAATTCTGGGCAGCCACTAAAAGTACATATGCATAGGAACACAAAGAAAACTGGAAGGAAAATACATCCGATGTTTCAATGTAGAGAAAATATGAGAATTGCCATTTATGTATATTTTTATCTCAATCTTTAAATTTTACTTTTCTGGCATGTTTTATAATATATTGATTTAATTATAAATGTACATGTGATTAGGTCCATGTGAGTTTCTTTACTGGTATGAGTTTGCTACCAAGAATGTTTGGAGACCACTGCTGCAGAGCATAGTCCCTTGAGTCACTCCAACTGGTCTGGCAAGAACCTATGTAAAGAAACGGAGGCAGCCCAACGCTGTGTGAACACTGTGGACCTTATCCAAAAGGCTAATATTATCACTAGATACTTGACTTTGTGCAAATGAGACCTATCATAATCTGCAGTTACACTTTGTTGGACTTTATGACTTTTCCCCAGTGTGCTCTGACTCAAAAATAGCTAAAAGGTGGATGAAATCCAAGTGCACACATTCCAGTGGTAAAGCATGAAAACAGCAGGGCAAGAACGACTAGAACTTTAAGCTAAATCCTGTGACTATCGGACTGGATCTCTGTATCGATTTGCGAAGGGCAATCACGCCGAAGATTTACCCCTAGGTGATTCATGGTCTTTTGAGTTTCCCACACATCATTCATAACTTTTATTCAAGACCAAACTCCCAGAATCTTCCCTAAGTTAAACCAATTCAACCTGATCATCACAATGCCAGATGGTCACACACATAAAAATAAACAAATGAGGCTCTATCTTTGTCCCTGATCCTCAGCTGAAAGTCTGGCTTACATTCTCCCAGGAACTGGAAGAGAAAAAAGGAGGATGACAATGCTATATACCACTGATGCCAATGACAACCATGACCCCACTTACTGCACAAGATGACACCAGTGATAACAACGGATACGATTTGTTACATACTTAGCCCGTGCCAGGCACTCTTCCCTGTACTAAGGGTGCAGCGCAGCCTTTCATTTTAAACCTCATCATGGCCTTATGAGGCTATTTGACAGATGAGGAAACTGAGGCTCCGGGGGGCCAAGTAACATGCCCACGATCATCCAGCCGGAGTGATGGAGCCAGGATCAGACCCAAGCAGTCGGAGCCCTGCTTTTCATCTGTGTGTGCCCCAGTCCAGGGATGCATGGGACCAGGCTAATGGGCCTCTCTGGTCCAAAGGGAATACTGACTTTTCCCAGGCATCACACATGTCCACTTTGAGAGCCTTCAGTCTTCATTATGTTGCCCACTTATGGCTATACTGTGGCTATTTTGATGGTCATACTTCACCAACTCTAGGTCAGATACTGCTTCTCTTGCTAACAGAACTGAGATCAGGATGTAGCTCACAATCTCAGCCCAGCAGGTAGCAGACGTGACACAGCTGTCATCGCTTGTGATGTGCATTAAACCAGAATCTGTGTCAGTGGCTTAGAAGAAAATCTCAGGAACTACGGCAAGGCAGCCTTTGAAGAAACACTGCTCACAAGTGCCCTTGAAGGCACAGAAGGGAAAATGTTGTTGGGAAAGGCAAGGACATCAAGACTCTGAGTAAGAAAGTGATTTAGAAGACTTGAACTCAATGTGTGAATTACACGAATACTTAACCAGCTTGCCTCGCTTATCTGTTCCTCTACATGGGTGTGATAAAAAAAAATTCTAAGATGAAAATCTAAAAACTCTTTCAATAGGTATAAAATATTCTAACTGAAAAGAAAGCTTTTTTGTGTGTCATAGTTTAATTGGCAGCATTATTTTTTCTTAGTGTTACATAAAACAATGATGTGCCCCACAAGCAATGGTGTCTTACATTAAGTGATTATGATATTACTTCTAGAAGTATCTCTCAGGAGAGGCGTCAAGTTAGAATTTATCAGAACATTGAACTATGAGGTCCAAGAGGACTCCCCTTGCCTGAGTTTCCAAAGAGCCAGCCCCACAGGCACTGACCCGGAGGTTAAAAGGTGACTCACAAGTCTGCCTCCACAGCCACAGCTTCTCTACTGAACCCCAGGCCCAGTTTCTATCTCCCTGCTGCCCTCCACCTGAATATACCCCCTCATCCCAGATGCCTCAGAGTGAGCCCATCCAAACCCTCATTACCGACCTCGTTCACCCTCTCCTCCCCTGTGCTGCACAGCTCAGGGATGGTACCCGACCCTCCCACAGTCCAAGCCAGAGAGCTGGGGGTCAGAAAGTCTTCCCTCTCCCTCATCCCTGGACACAAGCCTCTGCCCCCTCCTATCACCTCATCCTGTTTGCTGCCTGTGACAGGCTCTCCGGAGCTCGGGCTTCAGCCACGTCCGTGGTCACCTGACTGAGACTCCCCACCTCCAGCCCCTCCAAGCACCAATTCCCCCCTTCAAACCACTCTGACAGCTACCTGCCTACACCCAAGATGGATCCCACCCCTGTTTGCTGCTTAAAACACTTCAAGGTCTCTACTGCCAACAAGTTAGAGCCAAACCCTCCTCCTGGTAAGCACCACCTTTCATCATCTCTCTGCCATGGTCCACTGAGCAGCCACCTTTCCTGACCCACCCACCCTTCATTCCTGCCACCCCACAGCTCTCTTTCCCAGGACAACATCGTGCTCTTTCTCGCCTTGGTTCCTTTACACAGGCTCTTCCCTTGTCTGGAATACTCTACCCTTGCGCCCATTCCAATGTCCAGACCCAGACAATATACCACCCCCTCTGTGAAGTCTGGGTATTTTCCTCTGTGTTCCCACAGCACAGTGTACATACATCTATTAGGGCATTTAG